TTTAAAAATTTCCATGCAGCAAACATGCTTTCAAAGACTCGGATGTGCATGAAGTATTGCCTGTGTAATGAAACACGGGAAAAAGGAAGAGCTAATCCATTAACGCGGACGAACACCTACACTGAGCTTTTATACAGAAACGGAACTTGGCGCAAAGCGTTAAGCAAAGCGTATGTACCTACTCATAAAGTGGACCAAATTTTAGTAATGCCCAATGCAAACTAAAAACAAATACGCTATAAAATACGTACGAGTACGGGTGAAGCATATGATTATTATATTTTCAGGTGGATTTTTACGTTTGCATGTAATGGAAATTCCGGTGCAGAGCGGATTAGAGAGCGCGCCGGAATGCCTTAAACAAACTAACGCAAAACGTTTGCTGAAAGTCTTTTCACAACCCGCTCTGAGCTTCGCCTGTGTGTGACTGTGAACGTGGTCAAAGGGATTTTATTCGTTCGATCGCGAATGATCAAAGATAAAAAGGATAGCGACCAAATCTCCTTTGTTTGGCACTAAAATGCACTACACTACACATATTGAACATTTTCGCACAAAGACTATACCTACGATTCAGTTGATTGCAAAACAATGCAAGAAATTTCGTTTCCTGCAAAGAAAATAATAGAATGGAAATGCATGGAATCCGCGTACAGTCATCAAATCATTTCGAAAATGATAAGTAGTTAGTTTCAACGCCGCTCCCCAAAGATTTTATGACTTGCACGGAACGTAGACGTCTCTCGTAACGACCACTGCCAAAAGCAGTCGTCTTAATGTGCAGTCCGAGCAAAGAATAATCTATTTTATTGCACGATTCGATATTTAAACAGTCTCAAAGCTATCTCTCCGCCACTTTATGTGCCGGGAATCAAGTCCAGGAGCATTAAATACAGATGTACTGAAAGAATTAAAAATCTCGGAGCGACACAATTCTTTCAACTTTATCCTTGCTAGAAAATTCTAATGAAAGTCGCTCGGAGAAGACAATGTCTGTAGTAGGAGTCAACAGTAAAACAGCGGATGGCTCTAAAAATAAATAGCGATGAAAGGATTACATTTATTAAAACGAATAGAAGATGCTCTGTACCTACTTGATGCGATAATAGAGTCATCGATTACACAGTATCCAATCTTGGAACTCATATTCTATAAAAATAGGCGTGAATCTGTAATGCAATGCCAATTTTAACAACCAAGCGCTCGTTATTATTGAATGGAGCTTTGAAATTCAGTCAAGGAAAGTATTGATCGTTTACATAAGGCGTTATCGCTCCATATTGAATAGATTTCTTCGCACCTAATTTGTTGGAGCCGCTTTTGTAGTGAAAATGATAACTGCTTATTCAATAATATTTTGATATTATATTCTACCTACCATTATTTAATTTGGTCTGGTTTCTAACACTAACTCCCTAAATAGGCTTAAATAGCTAAGCCTAAATAAGACGATCAAATATATCCGTCAGATCTGTTTTATTGTTTCAAATGAAAACCAAATAATGAAGATTTTAGATAGCCTTTATTTTAGAGAAACAACATTTTTTAATATTTATGATTCATTGTACCTGCCTGTTTCCCCTCTACATTTTTTAATTCAAATATTTTTTTTAGGTACAGCAATGCTACAAAATTATAGGCGTGAGATAAAATCACAAAATATGGACTAATAAATATGAACATGATTTATATTTCAACGATTAAATTTAATTATTTCATAGAATGGGTTTTATCACGAACACAAAGGTCGAACACAAATGCGCAATTTAACCTGCCAATACTGCCGGTTTCCTATTCATAGGCGTACAGTACAGATTCCCGTAATGTAAAGGGATTCAGCGTATTATGCTGTCGGTGTCGGAGAGCAATTTAATAGCCACTTACCTACTGGTCAATCGGCGATCTGAACCCATTGAGAGATAATCCCGTTATTTCAACTAAGTAATTAACTAGCCCGTATTGAACACTACTACGCTCTGCAACATATCAGCGCCAATCGGATTAATAATTAACCAAATTCCGCTGTTCGATTTGAATAATTACGTTCATTGCATTGTGTGACGTTGTTGCACTGCGACTTCATGACTCGTTGAGCATTCTACGAATTATACGGTTACGAACTATTCTCATTTACCTACAGTAATTGGTATTAAGGTTGAACTTGAAATGGAGGTTAGTAAGATGTAAAGGGGATGTGCGCGATTTAAATTTGCGGAAAACATTTTTCTTTCTAAAGATATTAGGTTTGTTTGTGTAAAATAGGTATAGGTATGTGAAAAATCATCAAGCCCTTCCAGTTTCAAATATTAATCTCATTGAACCAAAACTATCTATAAAATTGTTTGTTATTATAATGTTTCTAAGGAACGAAAAAGGTGAAGGTTTAGTGAAAGGTACATTTTAACCTTTTGCTTAACTAACCTATCAAACACAAGACCTAATTGCCCGTGACATTCATTGCAGTTATATCGTCTTGCTGGGTGTGCTTTCTAGTCAACCTAATTGTTGAATTGTTTTGCCGAGCCTAAAAATTAAACTACATACATAGTCATTTTCAAAATTCGTTGAACTTCAATTACACATGGTCAAACAAAGGTTTGGCCAGTTGCTGACGTCAAACAAATTTTGAAAAAAATAAATAATCAAACGTTTAAGAATACAGCAAGGCCACATAATAATACCAAAGGCTATCAAAAAGTAGCGATTTGACACGAATTTTTAAAATATCATTTTTAGAATTTATTTAATGGTTCTGTAAACTTATTATAATAATCAACCTTCTGGGTGTAAAGAAAAAAGCGTCAAATGATCGTAGTTGCAAAAAATAGTAGGATCTAACTTTTTTTTTATTTGTGAAGACCCTCTTGGGAACCGCAGTAGAAGGCTTTTGTTCTCTGGTAAGAGTTAGTCAGAGTTACAAGCTTTTGCCGACTGTGTAAGTTAAGTTGAAAACAAACTTTTATTATCCAGAAGTTTTGATAAAAAATTTAAAAAATAGCAAACAGACAGAATAACTTTCAGGACATCGGCAACATTTGAGTTTGGTTTGGAGATACCGCTGCTTATTTGTGCAATAAAACGGTGTTGGTCTACCAACTTTTATTAAGTTCATAAAAACTGCGACACCGCACTAAAGTGGATGTACATTGTGTTAGATTTTCTCAATTGAAATCGTCTAGACTGCCAAAAATTTTGTAGCGACAAACTTTACACGAGAACTTATATGCAGTCTTGATGAGTCCATGGGAGCATTGACATAAGATAATGTCAAAGGTAAGGACGTACGTAGGTACTTGTTATTATGAAAATAACTTACAAAGCGAGTCTGGCACAATGCGGGCAGCTTTTCCAGTTCAACTCGAAGTGAGGGTATTATTATCTAAATGAGATGGAAAATATAGTTGAAGATCAGTAAAACTTTTGTACATTGCCAATTTAATGAAATGATTTCGATAAATAAAGCTTTCCCAGCTCCGGCCATTCTCAAACTTAATTAAACTTTACCTGTTTCATTGAAATTGCATGAAAGGCAGTATTAAAGTTACATCTCAGATTCCAATTGTACTCGTAGCTTAGTATTTTGTTAATTAACAATTAATATAGGTATGTATAAAAATACTTAATACTTAATTATCTTGCACGTTTGCTAATTTATAATACACGCTTACTTGTATTTTTATATTTAATGAAATTTAGGGTGTGGTGTAGATTGAATAAATTTTCGTTTCGACAATATTGTACAACGTGGCAAGTGACCTCGCCCAAAAACAGTTTCGAATCGGAGGTACACAACACAGGGCACGCATGTATCTTTAATGTTTCAGAGGCAGGCTGCTGAGTTTTCTACATTTTGGGCTTATTTATATAAGCAAAAGATAATCAAGCTAGAATGCCCATATAAATCTAAAAACCTTGAATACACTTCGATAGTGTCGGTAAGTGTTGTTTGATTGACGTGAACTATCAAGATACTGCTACGTAATTACAAGCACAATGCTAATAAACCCTGGTTCTTTCCAAGAACTGCAATCAAATCGAATTTTTAATGACTATTTAACCACAGTAATCAAATAAAACTTCGTGAAAGATAGCAGTTTTTTCACACGTGCTAGAACTTTGCGGCAAATTATTGTTTATCACGACGTTCTGTTTTTCAATATTCAATCCAAAAACCTTCAAATAATGGCAAAAAAACTGAAATGAATACCTGAAATACATTAAAAACTTTATCTGAGTAACGAAAATTATTTTAGCCAACATCCACTCAAATAACACAAAAAGGTATGCAAACAAAAATATCTTTCATCTTTTATACTGAAATGGAATGAAATATGAAAATAAATACGTCGCTTTGCTGAAACTGTTTCAGTTTCTGCAAAGCGGCTTATGTTTGAAATATTTTAAAGCAGTCAGAGATCGAAAGCCAACACGTTGATATTATTGTGTTATTATTATCCATTTAATATTTTAGTTTTGTACAAATATTTTACAATGGTGATTTTGTAATTTTTTTAAAAATGTTTCTAAAAATCGGAATGAAAAACTTGACGCATTTTACCAGTAACGAATCATTCGTATGCTAAATGTACCTACTTTAGTCGTTAGAATTTTAATTTAACTAATTAATAGACCAGTTTCCGCATGAAGGTCGTAATAGTCACAATAATCCATCAATTCGTCACAGTATTTTGAATACTATCGATAAAATAATATTATAATAATATTTCAACAGCAACCTGTAATTACTAACAGATTTATCTGATGAATGGGCGCGTGTTTATTTAAATACTTACCGCGAATTATGCTACGAATTTTAGTGTGTGGCATAAATTATGGACGCCTGCGGAATAATAATTCAGCTGGAAGATAAAAAACTAACGCCCGCCAATCGTAAATCTAATGCATTCCGCTTTACTGCCGAGATTTACGATCGTCTCAGCTTATCGGAGAACTGTAAACTTGGGTCGCCAGGGAGACGTTGGAGCGTGCTAGTTACTCACGCGACATGGTTGGCTTGCGGTAAGAATGCGGCGGCCAGCGCGAGTAGCAGCGGCGCGCTGCGGGGGCGGGCGCCGCTCATGGCGCGGGCGACGGGCGCATGGGAGACGCGTCTTCGCCGGCCAGTTCGCGCGTTCGCCGCCGACGTCGCGCGGCGGACTGCCCGATGCGTGTGCTGCTTGCTGCCTGCCGCACGCTGTGCTCGCTCGGCGGGTTCTCCCGTCGCGCCCGCCGCGCGCACCGCGCTATCGATCCACCAAGCGTGACCCGGGACGGCACCGCCTGTCGCTCTAGCTATCGACCGTTGTGCCGCCGCACCATGCGACGCGTACACCTCCTAATTACTACACTACCGGACCCGTTTGCATTAAAACTTCAAACCTGCGCGCGACACCGCGGAAAATAAATCCCAATTTTCCAAGTTAACTTTCAACTTTTAATACCGGCACAACCGCCCCGACTGTACATTCCTGTAAGCCTCAGCTAACACTCACTGCTACAATAGCAAACGTTTGTACTTTTATAAATAAAAATTGTTTTGAAAAGTTTGCAACTCCACGCTTACCTAGTAACAGGAACCGAGGGAAATTCTCGGAAATGGGAGCGCGCCGCGGCGTCCGTAGCGTAGATACCTATGTGTGCTATGATACCTATATTTTCAACATTCACTTTCACTGTCTCTCAGCTGATTCTATTACGTTGGCGACACATCGATGCCACCGAGCTTGTGGAGAGTATCAAACTTGTTTAGGTTTCGTTAGTTACCTTCAACGTCCCTTTGTAATTGATCTCCACAGCCTTTTTTCTGGTGGCTTTGCACACGTTTTTCGGTCACAAAAATACTGTACTGCAGCCCATGGGAAAAAGTTTAAAAGAAGACCATGGAAGGCAACAGTGTAGCTGTATGGAAAAAGAGTTTTAGGGTGGGTTGCACCATCTTACTTTGACAGTAAATATGACGATAACCGGTGCTTTTTATGGAGTTTGACAGATTTTTGACGTTTGTCAAAGTTAAAGTAAGATGGTGCAACCAAGCCTTAATATAAAATCAAATCAAGTAGGTCATATTTTGAAAAATGAGCCGAAATACCTTGATAAATAAAATATTAAAAACATTTCAAACTGTTTGTGGTATCAAAGGTTAAAAGTCAACGAGATAAAGAGAGATTATTGAATGGGAATCACAACGATGCCGAGCAGTCTGCCGCTACATTGTTTTTATTTATTAAAGTTACGCCGAGTAGATTGAGTATTTTAATAGTAAAACTCGTCTGCTGTCATAGCTTTGTTGTATAAATTAATAATATTATAGGAAGTTTTCGGGGGAGATGCCAATAAAGTGCCTTGTAATTGTATTAGGTGTTAGTAAACATTGTCGAGCTAACTGTAGATAATAATTGGGAATTCCTGCTTGTACCTATGTACCGTAAGGTTGTTGATATGTCCAGTTGGTACAATAGTTAAAAACTAAAACCACAACCGTACCCTACTGCATTCAGTCTGCCCCATTCAACCACTTCAAGGCCGTCTGGTGAGGCGGGGTTCACACGACATTGTATCTGTAAGTTGTATAGGTACGTACACTAATAAAGGCATGTACTCGTACGAGTATGTTAAAACGAACTAGTGTGAATATTTAAAATGTATTCTTCAACTTCCCCTTTATACAAGTCTTACATTTAAGTACTAAAACTTACGTTACAATGTTAAGAGTAGTGTTAATTGTGATTCGGGTACATTCCACTCTGAATTGCCGAATCACAGCACGATAGTTTTGGCAATCACAACAAAATGTAACCTGATAAGATAAAATAAAACGAATTTTTATTATATCACGCATTTTAAGTTGATGAAAAAACATTCGTAGGTACGTCACGTAAAAGTAATCTCTTAAATCCGAAATCGTTTCAATGCGATTGACGTTGACGACTTCATACTCACACGAATAAATTAATTATAGTCCAGTCAATAAAGCATTATAGATGGAAATCCATGGAACACAATTTCTGACTTCGGGACTTTATTTAGACTAGTTAGGAGGTGAACATAGCAAAAGTCCCCGCCCTTAGCCCTTGAGCCGGCGGGGAGAGGGGGGTTTAAAGGTACCACTTTTCGGTTTTTCGCTTAATCCTCGGAAACTATGCATCCTAGTGACATGACTACTATGAACCAAAAAAAGCTTATTCAATTTGCTACAGGTGAGATATTCAAGTTTTTCTATATCTTGTATAGTTTTCGCGGCATCTGCTCTAGAAGGTCTGTAATATTGGAAATTTTATTTTTGTCCTACATGTTCCCATCAGGAGAAAATCGACTTAATCAACATTGAGCAAACATTCTAGACATGCGGGAGCATGTTAAGCCTAGTTCCAGGGAGGGGACTGCACCGTGCGTATATTTAGACGAACCACTTGCAGCCACTTTTGACTCCTCATCACCCAAAAACTACTGTGCGTTAACACTTCAAATTTGGCTCATGTGTTGAGACTTACGAGATAAACATCAGCTTCAAATTTCATTAATATACCTCAAACGGTTCTTTAGGTATTGACGTCCAAAAATCTACATGTCTGACCTATAGACCAAATTCTAACCACTTCCAGATGACTTTGAAGGTTCAAATTTGGCATGCAGATAGGTAGATGTGTAAATACAAAGGAAGAAACAAAAAACCAGTAAATTTTAACATTTCACAGGTAATAGATAGATTTTATTGCCCTAAATGTCGATTTTTGAACGTCAATACCTAAATAACCGTTTGAGGTATATTTATGAAATATGAAGTTGATGTTTATCTCGTAAGTCTCAACACATGAGCCAAATTTGAAGTTTTAACGCACAGTAGTTTTTGAGTGATGAGGAGTCAAAAGTGGCTGCAAATGGTTCGTCTAAATATACGCACGGTACAGTCCTCTCCCTGGAACTAGGCTTAACATGCTCCCGCATATCTAGAATGTTTGCTCAATGTTGATTAAGTCGATTTTCACCTGATGGGAACATGTAGGACAAAAATAAAATTTCCAATATTACAGACCTTCTAAAGCAGATGCCACGAAAACTATACAAGATATAGAAAAACTTGAATATCTCACCTGTAGCAAATTGAATAAGCTTTTTTTGGTTCATAGTAGTCATGTCACTAGGATGCATAGTTTCCGAGGATTAAGCGAAAAACCGAAAAGTGGTACCTTTAAACCCCCCTCTCCCCGCCGGCTCAAGGGCTAAGGGCGGGGACTTTTACTATGTTCTCCTCCTAACTAGTCCAAATAAAGTCCCGAGGTCAGAAATTGTGTTCCACGGATTTCTCTCTACACCGTCGTTAAGGCATTCATTGACTGGACTATAACGTTTCATTTTAATTGGTGTAAAAGAATCCCTTTCGACATGCATAAAATCTCAGATTACAATTAAAATAACAATCGTGTATCAGTTAAGCGGCTTAATATTATATTTCGTGGAATAAATAGCAGGTAAAATTAATAATTAAGGCTGGGTTGCACCATCTTACTTTAACTTTGACAAACGTCAAAAATCTGTCAAACTCCAGCCTTAGGCTGAGTTGCACCACCTAACTTTGACCGTAACTATGACGATAACCGGTGTTTTTTGTACGGAGTTTGACAGATTTTTGACGTTTTTCAAAGTTAAATTATGATGGTGCAACCCGGCCTTAGTGTTTATTTTGTTAAATAAACGTCAAATTGATTCCGTTGCGTGATATTTCACACGTTATTATTTTCACGCCATTTTCAAATATTAACACTGAAAATTCACACTTCAAAATTCTGTAGAGAAAATATTTTGTACGGTGATGTTCTCGATTGATGCGCTCAAATTGGGTTTGCTCGATCCACGGCTTTTCTATTTCAACTAAACTTGTTTTATACTTTTTATTGACTTTGTGTTCACTTTTGCCTTAAAGATGACAAGCCATTGTGTTCGGTACTTCGACAGACAGTGCTAAAGAGCGAAATGAGCCTATTAAGCTCATGTCAAAATTTAGTATGATAAAAAATATGCACCTAATTAGTTTCTTAAAAATGTAAAGAACTGTTTTATTGCAGTAAGGAACAAAACAGATAATTATGAAGTAATTAAAAATACCTAATAAGGAATATAATCCATTTTTTCTTTGGTCACCGATAAATTATATTTTTACTTTTCTGTTACAGTTTCTGTTACAGCACAGCTGTTTCAATTAATCATACGAGTACTTCATCCAAAATCCATACTATCTATACTAATTATTATAAATGGGAAAGTAACTCTGTCTGTCCGTCTGTCTGTCTCGCTTTCACGTCAAAACTACTGAACCGATTTGAATGAAATTCAATACACAGATAGATGCTAAAAGACGTTGTAAGGTGTTAAAAGGGGTAAAAAAGGTTTAATGAACCAATTAGAATCTTGAAACTTATTTTTTAGGCTGTAGGTTAGATTTATATAAATATTGCCTTTAAAGTTTGTAATAATCTCATCCTCAAAATGTTAATAAAATTAAGGGATGAAAGTTTGTGTGGAAATTCGTCATTTTTGAAGCTAGAACGATGAAACTTTTTTCAATTTTTTTTCAATAGGGATACTCCCGATGTGATCCCATTGTCACCAAGTCAGGGTCTGATGGGATCCTAGGGAAATCGCGGCAAACCCTCAAATTTTTCAAGCTTTAAGCACGTATCACGTTTTTCCTATGTTTTTCTTATATTAGTCAAGCATCTGACTGAAAGTCATCATTTCATGTTGAGCTGATAATAATGGAAAGTAAAACTTCTTAACGTTTACGAGTTGGAGGATAATTCTTTAAATATTACAGGTACGACTAGTTCGACATTTGTATTCTTTCAGGTTATTAAAGTTGGCTGATGATGGAAGGTCATTTTAGGTTGCTGATCGCCAATTTACTAACCTGTAATTTGTAGGGACGATGTTTTTTATACTTAACATGGGAAAAATATTACGTGGCGCAGCACGGTGTAGGTGGGGAAAGTTATATACCTGAGTGTTCTTACTCTCAAGGTTCGACCAAACCAACGCACCATCGCCATCGCGATCGCAACGCGGACTGCACGTGTTGGTTTGGTCGAAACTTTACTTACACATGCGAATATTGATTTTTACCACTGCAAATTGATTACA